TGGTAGTTGCATTGAGTCCAACTTGAGTAGGAATTGAAATATATACCTTTCTTTTATAAATTTTGTTAACCAGAGAAACAAAATGTTATTTAAAGGTAACATAACCTGAAGTGAAACATTGACATTATATATCATTCGACATGTCCTTCCTTCGTCAAGACTGGTAACTATCTTTATATATATATATATATATATATATTAAAATAGAATTGCCATTCAGCCCGCATCAATATTAAAAAGGAAGTGAAAGGCTAAGGGGCAATGTTATAGAAGCATGTTGGTGTCAATTTAAATAATCAAGGATTATCCTTTATCGTTTGACATTCATTATGTGAATAGCGTTTGATTAACGAATCATCCCGCTAAGCGCAATAATAAACATATTTTAAGTAGAAAATTATCTCCTTTAAACGAGATAATTATATATAAAGCGAAGTAAACATCTCGTTTGTACGGGACACTACCGTGTTTTAACGGGGAAAAGCTTTCGCTTTTAATCGTGATGATTATTTATTTTCATCTCGTGTTAATTCGATAAGTCACATTTTTAACGAGGCAACCAAAGCATTTTATCAACTGATTATTGCACTTAAATGAAATAATTATCGCATTCTAATGAAAATAATGCCGCATGAGTTTAATATGCTAATGGATTGTGCATTACCGTAAACTTCCTCACCTAATTTCCCCTTTATATATCCACAGATTCTAGGACCGTTTGACTGAACGTATTTTTGTACTCCTGATGCAACATCTGTAAAGTCTGTTTGCCGGATAAGAACCACTTCAACTTTTTTTAACCGCTTAAACGAGATTCCAGTAACGATTTTGCATAATGTCCCACCGAAATCCACTCCTGTTGACACTCCTATGTCTGAAAATAATTTTAATCAGAAACAAATACAGCATATAATATAATAGCATATTTTTTCGAAACGGATGTCCAATGTCAAAAAAGAAAGAATGACACGTTTATCTGTTCGCCTATCTCTGTCGATCTCTCTCTCTTTTCGCTATCCGTGAGGAGGGGGGAGGACGTGCGAACGAGTGGACGAGCGGGAGATTGATGCTAGGAATTTGTGAAAATAGTGTACACATATTCATTTCATATAACTGCAAGTACGGATATCAGTTTTTGAAGTGAACGAACAAGTGAAAAGCGTAAAAAAAATATTCAAAATGTTCATAGCAACGCCATAATTTTCTTCGGTCAAAAACTAATAGAAGCTTCTGTATATCGTTTCTTAGGCGTGTTGGTAACAGCATATCATCTAACGCCCGCAAAATAAACGGATTTTGTATTTGCATAATGTAATATTTGTCATACCAATACAATTGTCATATTTTAGTACATTATATATATCTTTCAATTTTCTGGGATTAGTTTATACTAGTTATATTGTACAATTTACTGCATTGGATATACATTATATGTGCTTTATTTTGCTATAAAACATCGATTGTAAAGTCAATATCCTCTGAACTTAAATTGTTTATAGTAATGCATTGCCACCTTAGCATATGTGAACAAAAACAAAACACAACAGAGGACACTACAACAGACTATCTGTGTCAGTGCAATATACCTACTGATCTTGATCATGCAGCCAAAACACTTGAACTAACGTCTATGTGCATTTATATTGTGCACAGTTCATCGATACGTATTATACGCCTTATTGACGTTAATTTTAAACATTAAAAAAGTTTAGAAATGAGGCCAGTAACCTAAATAATGACCGTCAGAAAGATTAACTTACTGAGTCCTCTGCATCTTCTTGTGGTTCTAGATTTGAAACAGCATCTCATTACTTCCATGATTGTATCAAATACACTGAAGATCGTATTGTACTTTTTCAGAATATATTCCTTGAAACTCACAACCATTTGTCATTAGATGTCATGCTAAATGGTTGTGAGAGATGTGATGAAAATGAAAACAAACATATTCTCCTATCTATATTAAATTACATTTTAAGTTCTCGAAGATCCAGGACAATTAACTTCAATTTTGAATAAAATTTTACATTCCATTTTATTGCTTTACACTTTATTTATGTATTTACATCTTTTTTTTCTCAATGTAATTCTTCTGATTTCCAAAAATCGTACATGAATATTAATATTAATATTTCCTATTTGTCTTCTTTGTTTATTTTTTAATATAGTTAGTGAGGGGTGCTGGTGTCCAGAAGACCAGTTATACTATTTTATTAAAAAAATATTGGGAAAAAACTACATATATAAGAATATAAAGCTTTACAACATGTTGATTATATATCTAACCTGTGTTTAATATGTATGAATTAAACTATTTGGTGGGATTGAATTTCGAAACTCATCAGTTGGCCTGTATCTGTTGGGTGCGGTATTTTAATCCCATCAAATGTTTATACATGCAGCTGCATCAACAAATTATTTTTCTTTTCTCTTCATAATATTGATATATATATATATATATATATATATATTGTATATGTCTTTTCGGTATCAAAAAAAAAGATTAAAATTTAAACCATTAGATTAAATTACAATAAAAATGAGTAATAGTAGTTGTTTCCCCTAATTTGATTATTAATTTGATAATACCAACTTGTTTATATGTGTGTGTTCTAATGTCTATGTCTATGCTTGTACCACTGTTTGTTACTATGTTTGGAGAGGGCTTAAATAGGCTATGCCTGCTGCCCAATCCATTTGTCCTTTGACAATAAAATTTATTGAAATTGAAGCTAATAAAATCAGTTCTTTAAATATTAACATAATACACGTAATACACACACATGGTTACATGTTCTAAATTTGGTAATATATCCAGTATGTCAAAAATATGAATTACACTGCACCATAGAGATGTTTCGTCCTTCTAGGTCTCATCGGTGATACTAGGACCAAATTGTTGAGATCTAAATTGTGTAAATTATTATACAACAAAGGGGCAGGTGCGTAAAACTCATTAATTTATAAATTTCAAAATTTAGAGGAATACTGATTAATATCGAATTACAGTAGATAGTTAGCAAAGTGTGTATATTATAAATCGAAAAAGAAATAATTGTGTATTAAGAACACGAAAGGTAGCGGACAATAAATCACTGTGATTTGGTTTTGGTGAGTCAATAAAAGTGTTTATATTTAATGAAATATCAAGCATACCTGTAGAAATCAGTGGTACAGCAACAGATTTGTGGCCTTCGTCATCAGCTTTTGTCAAAGCTAGGCGCAGTGACTTTTCCCAATCTCCGTGGGTGTTGACAACGATGATGCATTTGCTTGTCATCCCTTTGGTCGGTATAAAAGCAATACCGCTTCGTGATAATGCTTTCTCTGAAATGACAATATACATTAGAAAAAAAAGATTCGTTAAATTATCCATTGCATGAATAAAAACATCAGTACTGAAGTATACTCACTCTTTTTCGCGATTTCTTTGTCCAAATCCAAGCCTGTTTTATGTCGAATGGCGTATGCAACTGCGCCTACAATTTTAATCATTCACATGTATGAAAACAGATAACTATTATTACTTAGAAGTATTTAGAGTGTGTTTGGTAATTTTCATTAATGTAATACTTTTGAACGCTTACCATTATGAAACATATTTTTATAAGCTTTTTCGTTTCATACCTTTTTTCTTTTTTTTGAGGCGGGGTCATGCATATATACATTTATCACGAATTGACTGTTATTCATACCTGTCATTTTGAAATGCTTGTCTGTAGAACAAACAATAGCGTCACAAGCAGCTTCAGTGATGTCTCCCACTCGGATAGCAACGTTGGTAGGTCCGAAGGTTGCCTCTGCTTCACAGGTTGACTCGGGCTTTTGTGATGATTTCGTTTTCGGCATACCTGATATACAAGCAAACTTTTGGGCAACTCATACTCAACTGCTTCGGCGCGTAAAAATACCTTTTATTGGTTATTCAGCAAGTAATATTTGGCAATAGAAACGAAACTACATACCTCCATTTACTAAAATTTCTATTACATTAGTTACCTGTTCGAATCACTCATTGTTGCTATGCTCGTCACATGAAGTTTCGGGTTAGGCATGCGCTCTTGCATAAGATTGACATTCAGAATGAAATATCAAACAAACAGCAATCTGACATAATGAGCTAGTTAAGAAGCGCTTGAGAATACGTGATCTCTCTACTTTTAAATATTGACTTATTTCATATCAACATGTATGCAAAGTCATGGAATTATTCAAAACATAAATTTGTCAACGGAACTGCGAGGAGATTACAGGAATCTTACTTCATAAAGTAATATATTAACATAAAAAAATCTTAATGACAATTATGATCAATATCTTCTTGAACCTATTGCAAGAACATTTGACCATACTTAAATCGAACCTGCAAAACCTTCTGCTGGATTCCTTGTACAAATGATGTTCCAGACCGAATGATCGCTTTACCGTTTGAGGTTAAATAAGCCCCGTAAAGATGGCATGGTCTGTATTTCGGCAATAACGCCGATATCTTCACGAACATGGCATTGTAACATACCGTCTCTTGCAACCCAATTGAGTGCTACGTTATGACAAATTGTATTTAATATACCTAGGTCATGCGGAGCATAAATTTTCTTTAACTAGCTGTAGAAAGGAATACTAGCTTCAAACCAAGATGGTTTTAGCTTTGGGAAACAAAACAACCCTTGTTATCAATTAAAAGTATTTACAATTTATGACCCTACAAAGTCTAAAGTTAAACAACCTTTTTATTTCGTTCATAATCATGTATTATTGGACAATAAGAGTTGCACGTGTGACACACCACGTACATGCAACGCTCTTCGAAAAATCCTCCCTTATTTCAAATGGAAACAAGCGGGCAGTGGCACTGGGCTTCTTTGTCAGGTGAGGGTAAACACATTTATTTTTAAAATATTTGAACATTTACTTAGGATCAAAGAAATTAACCTCTAGACCTACTTAAACCTGTCATACAATTAATGTTTGTCGAACTAACTACGAAGGCGAGTTGAATTACCATTACATTGCATTTATATAACATTGCATCTGATTGGATCATATAGATCACACAAAAGGGGAAAAGGACATGTTGGCGCCCTCAAGCAATCGAGTTTTCTTGGTCATATTGCCCTTATTCAAAGACTCTCTAAAAGTATGGGCAAGAGCAAGCACAATTGAGTTTCGAGTAACTAAAGTCGATGCCAAAAATGGCGCGTTAACCTAATAATCTTGTTGTTGGTGTAATAAATTTATTTCGGCGTAATCAAATATATATTTACAGTATGTTGTTAAAATATGATTCTTTGATTCTCATCGAAAAACAATTATTCTGATTAATCTAAGAAAAACAACGAGTTGGGATTCCCTACTACAAAGTCAATAATTGAGTAGTGTTTGTATATCTTTGATTCAATTTGTAGACGAGCGATGTCAACAGATTGATGCTCCTATTGGAATAAAATAAACATCTTGTTACATGTACAAACATGGCGTCGTTGTGTATGGTATTCCATATTGGTGACTGTTAAAGGATTTTTTTTAGTTGTTTTAGGCAAAACATCTGTCATTTATCAAGGCGAGTTGTGCCAGTTTGTTGATTTCAACAAGCAATACCAAATACTCATTTAATCTGCACACGGTGAATTGCCATGCTCAGACAGCGAGCACGATTTGAAAACAACAGCCTAATTTACAAAATATTGTTATCTTAGTCTAAGTATATGAACTTAGGTAGACATGAAGACACATTTCCATTTCATTTTACAGGTTAGAATATATTTAAGTAACAAATGTTTGTGTATGTTGCTGAAATATTAATATAAGACTGCGTTAGCTGTTTTATTTTTTCAAAAACATGCCAATCGTCGTTATATAACCCATATCGATTAATTATTTGTTTATTAAAATGCTAATAAATACATTATTGTATATGTTATCAAATTTTGAATATTTAATTGATAACACGAATGTGCTTTACTTACCCATTTCTTTGGAATGTTGAAGAGTTCCAGTATTTTGTTTTGAATGTGCGTTTTTGTCTCCACATCATATCCAAGTCTGATTGTGTAGGAACACCCGAGTGACCGCTAGCAGATGACCATTTGGTTTCCTCGTCTCTAAAGGCCTGGTTTTCAAATATCGAATAGGAATTCTTAATTAGCAACAATGCCAAAATATAAAAAATTGTGTAAATTTGTGTACGTTGTGTTTAAGTGACCCATCAATTCAAATGTATGAGTTATTTACTTGTTTCTTACATTGATAATCTTCTATATATTTTCAAAGCCAATCACCAGAAATTACGTTTATATATATATATGCTGCGGCGAAAGGCTCCTTCAATACCTGTAACAAGAAGGTGTGCAAACTGTGTCCATACACGCGCTCCACAGATACATTTCAATGTACAATCAACGGCAAAGTGTATCACATACTACAAACGCTGACATGCACATCAGTCAATGTGGTGTACCTTATTACCTGCAAAAAATGCAATTTACAGTACGTGGGCGAGACCTGCACCCAGCTCAATGTCAGGATCAACAACCACCGCTGCTCCATCAAGCAGAACAAACCAGATTTCCCAGTGGCAAGGCATTTTAGTATGCCTAACCACAGTTGGAAAGACATGCAGGTTGTTGCCATAGATCATTGCCCTACATGGGATGAAACGAGACGACGTACGAGAGAACGGTTTTGGATCACCAATCTACAAACCCGCTACCCTCGAGGTATGAACGAACGATAGGCGGTTGCCATCCGCTCGTTTTCCTTCCAAAGGGGCATTTGACCTAATGATGCATTACTGCACAGTTGGTCTGCTATCTCGCCTGCCTGCTGCATCATGTCAGTGTGTGTGACCAACAGCTGTTGTCAGATTAATTTTGCAGATGTATACAGTATCTTAGCCATTTCATCTTCTTACTCCTCCTGCACTCACGTATTTGATAATTACATGCATTATTCCTGCAAACCAAAAGAGGCGACTAAGTGTTGACCCCCTGCTGTGACTTAGATCCATCGCAGAATTGAGAGGCGACTAACGAGACATTCCATAGCAAATTGTAATTACTCGCATTTACCGGGCCAGATTTCCACATGCACATGTTCCACGTTTTTGATATATCTCGTTGACTCCCTTTATGTGATAGTGCATATTGCGCAAGAATAGGTCCTCTACATCTGCGTTCCTTATCCGCGATGCTCTCAGCTTAATTGCTGCCTTCGGCTGTCTTTAGCCGAGGGGACTATTGGTTTTATTTAATAGCTATATTTTCTATTATATTATAGTATATCAGTTCTATCTTCTTGTAATATGATGTATATGTATATGTAACTGTTCTTTTTCACTGTGTCTTGAAAAAGGAGCGGATCGCTCCGAAAAATTGACAACCTAAACCTGTCCACACTGTTGGAATTACTTCTTTGCCCCATATATATATATATATATGTATACACAAGTTTGCTATTACTTTCTTTAATAGTAATTCGAACAAGAGGTCGAGAGGGCCTGTATAGCTCACATGGAAATGTTAGCAAAATTTCAGTTATAATAGCCAGATGTTACTGGAAGTGTACAAGTATTATATGGTTAGTCAGGGGTTAATTTAATTGCAATTGGACAAAGTCCTGTCATTCCTAAAGTAAATGGAGGATTTCGAAAAATTTGCTAGGTTTCCCCTATAGGGCCCCGCCCCTCTGCCCCTAGGGGGGTCAGACCCATCGTTGATACATAATCCTGTCATTCCTACAGAAGAAGGAGGGGTAAGACCCTCCATTTATACAAAATTGGTTCTCCTTCACCCAAGGGTGCTTCATCCAAAATTAAATCAAAATCCTGTCAATCCTACAGAGGAAGAAGGATTTTGAAGAATTTGCTATGTTTCCCTTACTGGGCCCCGCTCCTCTGCCCCCAGGAGGGCCACACCTACTATCTATACAAAATTTAGTCCCAGGTCCAAGAATACTCTAGTCTAAATTAGAATAAAACCCCTTAATACCTACAATAGAAGAAGAATTTTAAAGGTTTTACCTCTATTTCCCCTATTTGGCCCCGCCCCTCTGCTCTCAGAGTGGCCACACACACCGTTTATACAAAATTGAGTCTCCTTGGCCCAAGGATGCTCAAGACTAAATTAGAATAAAATCTCTTAGTCCCTATCGGGGGTTCGAGTCCATTACCGCACGGTAGTACTGTATACTGAACGGCATAATTTAATATTCACTTTTAAAATAAATATATTGTTGCCAAACATAATGTTAATTGCAAAACCAATAGTATATTGGCGGTATCGCATTAATGCCAGGTTAAAAAAAATCCAAAAACAGCAGTATTTGTTTTGACGTTAACGTTTATTTCAGGTATTGGCGTCCATACATTTTATACCCTAAACGCGTATACACGACAAACTGAAGTTATGCGCATGCAAATTGTGCTTCGTGCCCTGTCAGCTTCCCTTGCAAAGGCCGTCAGGTATGAATGTGTCGGCAATATAGCTAGAATTTCAATCATTGGTAGAAATCGTGCAATTTGGATGCTGCAAGGCTAAAAAACGTCATATGGCGCGTTTGATAAATTGTACATGATTTACGATTGAGTGCCTTTTGAAGTGTTATCGACGAGTAGGACATGTTAACAAACTCCCTGAAGCAGTACGTCGACGTGAAACGTCGCCACGTCAGGATCGTTACATCCCTTATCGATGAATAGCGTCGAATCAAAACGACGTTTCGCAGAAGTTAACTACAATGGCGGACACACAAACTATTGACGTCACAGGTATTTTTAAACTGTGTACAGTTGTGACGTAAAAATCACGAGAAACATTGAAATCACCGTGCGTCGTTCTGTAAGACCGTATGCCTTTTTGGTCATTAACGGCAGTCATGGTTCTGTGTAGAATTTGTCTCAAATAATGAATTTATACATTTAAACTCGAATTTATCATGATAAAATAATATTATTTGATGCCTTTTATTAAGTGTATACTTAATTTTGCTGGTCAGTATATTTGTTTACGAGCAAGAAATATTATTCACGTATTATATGAATCTATAATTTACATAAATCCCCCTCTCTTATTTACCTTTAATGATTTGTCATCTTTCTCATAAATGACGAAGCGAACCTCATTCAGGGTCGTTGGATTGAATTCGTTGACAATTTTAAACATTTCTGCAGCAACTATATGATGTGGGTAAGCAAGGTTGCCAGTTCCCAGAGCCGGGAAGGAGATGGATGTCATCAGTTCATCGTCAGCCATTTGCAGACAACGTCTTATAAAATCTTGAAATTGCTGTAAATATACAATGTAGAAAATTTGTTATCGAATTAGCTCTTAAATTCTACATCAACTATTCTATGGATCTCATTCAGATATATTTGACTGAAATTAGCCTTCAATTACCCTCATTCAATGCGTGCTGTTAGCTCTAATGAAATTGAGAATCTGTAAAACATTCACGTGAAGTATTGAAAAAAAAATTATTCTCTAGTGTGGTAATTAATTAACCCTAATTAAATTTGAAGGGTTTTATTTCTTCGTTTCTTTTAGTTTTGCTTACTTACGGATATTAATTCAACAGGTTTTGCTCTCAGTTGCGCATCTGAAATGGCGGCTGTGGCCTCTGAATGGTCGGATTAAATATTGTCAAATTTCGATCATATTTGATAGTACATTTTATTATTGCATCATTTACTATGAAGAGGCAGTGTTGTGGACTTGTTAAAACTTGTTTCTTTTTATGATAGTGCTATATCGTCCTTCGGCAGTTGCGACAATGCAGAAGTTACGTTAACATAGACCCCATAGAAAATGGAACCTGGGTCAGTTTTTAACGACATAATTGGAATCTATTTCAGTTTTCTGTTCTTCTCTCCCGTAAAAGATGTACAATGTTGAAATGTGATCCATCTAGGCGTATGTTTGTTGTAGAACATAACGTAACAAATGTGGTTATTCCCGTAAGTTTCATGATATAACCCCCGTGTTAACTCCCTTTATCAACCTGTTACCTAACCTCAGTGTTATGCAGTGTTAAGAAGGAACAGGGCTTGCGAGGTGTCTGGAGTAGCATAAATTATTTTCAACAAACTGCTTAGGGGGATTAACGCTTATAAGGTTCCTGACAGAAGGACGGACGGACGGAATAATATGTATCCCCTCGGGGATATCGTAGCTGGGCCAAGGAGACAGAGAAGCTAACATTTACAGACGGACGGACGCACAGACAGACAGACAGGCGGACGCACGGACGGACTGAGGTCACAATTAAATGCTTCCGGATTCAGTCCCTTAGAAATATAGATATTTAGTAAAAATGTACTATGCATCTTATAACTTGATATTTGTGTAAAAGTGTGGTGTTGAAATACTCTAGAGATAACAATCTAACAATTTCTGTATCAATTCTGCTTGTTTGTGTCGATGTCACTATTCAGCGGATCTGAGGACGTGGCATTGCTTGGATTTTCCTTGAAATTTCACGATGACATGGCAGGTGCATAATTTCCTCTGCAGCCAATACCTTTGTAGTGTGATAGCCGTACGACAACCATCGAATTCCAGTTATAGAGAACTTTATACAAAAAAAAAGTTGATACATAGAGCTCTGGAACTTATATAAGGGTTATAAAAATATGAGATTTTTTTTTTATCCAAGTGTCATATGAATGAAGGCCGATGATAACATACCAACGCCGACGCCAGTACCACTGTATCTCATATTTAAAACATATCAAATTATATCATCTTTCATTTGCATTACCGGAAAGGTCTTGTCATTCTTAAAGCTCTGCAAGGCCCCGTGGAAAATAAGGTTGCATTTTAGTTGTCCTCCTGTTGTCGTAGCCACGTTGCCATGCTGAATACCATCCGGATAGCCAACATGACATTCGTCCTGAATCGATTGTCCCGCTGCTTTGAGGATCGAACTAGAAACAGCTCCATTTGTTAACTCTAGATCACATGACGTTGTGTTTACGATCACGTCAGTCTATAAAAGATGAATGAACACTTTATTATTTTAAAACTGAATTACTCCATGTGTATATACTTTTCAAAATGAAAGGTTCAAAAAAGAAAACAAAATACCGAAGTACTTTTTCCTTACCGTCGCTTTAGCGATCTGTCCTTTGACAATCTGTACATTCAAATTTCTTCTCTTACGGGAAACAGCAATGTTTTCTAAGATTTACAAAGACAAATACATATTAGATATATAAGCATGCTTAGCAATGTAACAATGATACTAAATATAACTAATGGCTTACTACTGAAATATGTGTGCATGAAATACAGATGACATTCAACGAGCAAGCGGTACATTTTCTTTTTACTTTTGTTACTCTTACTCTAAAAAAAACATCTAGACTAATTGCTTCCAAAGACGAAATCATTCAGTTGGTTTTCTGCTTTGTTTTAAGATGTACATTCATGATATGTGACCATTGTTATATATTTGAAGGTTACTTGGATCTTATATGAGCAGTGTGGTTCAAACCCTTCTCCAATATCACTCAGTTTGAACAGGCATCTACTGTCTCTATGTTATTCGTGACACAGTAAACAATTTTGTGGTCGGTAATAAGATAGGTATTTTACAATTTTGAAAAAATCGTCATAGATTAGGAATATCACTTGAGTCATAATATTGCTTATCATTTTTAATTCTATTGATATATTAAAGGACTGTATCAGAGAATAATTTTGTAAAATTTGAATATACCTTTCTGGACGATGCGTTTCCATTGATCTTTAACAGGTTTGTTGTGATTTACCACACATGCTTCTCCTAGCTGGCGTGTTAGTTCCTCGGCGAAGCAGGAGATCGCTGTAGGATTAATGTCACACAGGTAAATTTCATTCACAGAGGTATGTGTCTCCTCTTCCAGAAATTCAAGGATTGTTTTTATGATGACATGTGTAGCTTTGTCCTCAGGATATTGGAATACTCCTGTACCCAACGCTGGTATCGCTATGGATGTATAGCCGTCGCGACCACATTCTATTAGGCTCTTCCAAACAACTCCGTCAAGATATTCTTGTTCTCTTTGTTTTCCACCTCGCCAGTTGGGACTGTTTGCATGCGCTATCATTTTACATTTCAGGTTTCCTGGCTTGCTACAGTATATAGATCCGTCAAGAAGATTACCTTTCCGCTTGACGTATTCTGTACACTCATCCTGAATACTCTGTCCACCTAGATATGTTAAAATAATTTATATACCGTTTAATATCTTTAGCTAATATGTTTTATTTAATATGAAAATCTTAATATTAATCTTTATCTTGGATACCTTTCCAATCAAAGTATGCTAAACGAAATACATACTGTTGCGCCTCTTTAGCAAACATGTGTTATGAACGGTCAAAAACTGAAAATTAATTCCAAAAACATTTTATCTGAAAATGTTTTCCTACCTTTTGATACGATAAATTTTGCTAGTCCACCAACATGATCCATACTACTATTTGCAGCATTAACAATCACGTCCACTTTCAGTAGGGTGATGTCGCCTTGGAACGTCTTGATAACAGCCTTGTTCTTTGTGGTCCCTGTTGCTATCAGCTAATGGTATAAAATGAGTGAAATACCACAAATTAACGCAAGGTAAATATTTAAAGTATTTTGCGGTAAGTTTCATCAAATGACAAACAAATGATCAAATCAAGTATATTCACAAAAAGACGATTAGCATATCATTTACCTCAGGTTGTGAATCCAAAACTGAACCAGCATTACTCGACCGTGTTGATTCTATCTTCCCAGTTGTTGAAACTTCTATGATACAAGTCCGTCTAGATTCGATATCGCGTCGACATCCCTCCCCAGCAACAGATTGTAATATCTCTTGGAGACCCGGTTTATCCAAAGGAAAACATCTGCATTTTACGTTCGAAGCTAGATCTGCAACCAAAGGTTTTGCACGATTCAAAGCATCTCTTGAACCACGAATGACCATTTCCTCATTTGATAGACTGATCTTTACATTTCCATGGGTTGAACTTTTTTCAATTAAATCGATATCGTCGCGTTTGTACTGCTTTAAGTACTTGGAAACTCCAGGATCAAGTTTCAAAGACTCCTCTATGGTTGTATTTTTGGCAAGGAAATCATCGATTGTTTCTAAAATTTTCCCGCAATGTTCAGCTATTGTTAGTATCTGAACTAGACATTTTGTCATATCAACTTCAATCTGAACCATTCCCGGAAGCGTCTTTGTGAAATCATCGCAGAGCTTCTTCCACGGATCCTTCGAGAGTAATGTAATCGAAAGTCTGTCGATTTGATGCGACTTCTCCATAACGCGTGCCTTGATTAGATCTGCCGCCTTGACTATATCGGGTTGAGTAAGACTGTACAAAACGATATAACTGTCACTTGGAAAGACCTCCCATGAACATCTAATGCCAGCTTCCTTCATCTTGGATTCCAGGTATTGATGAACGGCATCAGTCTTAAGAAATCGCAACGCTGCCTTTGAAAACTGTTTTTCCATCTTTGTATTAGATATCTTGCTCGTGAACTCATATATATTCACTTTTGCTGACTTGATATCAGTGAGTTGACCTTCAAACAAGATATTCCCTCTGTCTGTGTCTACTGTTACTGCCAGGTCAGGTATATCTTGGCTCATTGTACTCAATGTATCCAGGTCACGTAGTAGCACCAGCTGCGGAATACCGATGTACATTTCCTCTCTTATTCTTTTCTTTTTCCGTTCAAGGTCGTTTTCCGCCTTACGTCTTGATTCTTCGATCAATCTTGCGTTCTGATCAACTTGTGCATGTTTACCAATCAATGTTACTTCACACGACTGAGCATCCCAGGAAACTTGTACTGAAGAAGAGACTGAGGAAGAGTCACCCCTTATTTTTGCCTTGAGGTCATCATTCCAAATTTCCTTCAATATTTGTATTGTTTCAATCTTGAGGCCTTTCTCGATCTTGAACATTGCTTGGAGCACATCGTCATTCCACGTCTTTGCCAATTTTCTAACATTCTTTGTAGTTTTAGACAGCGTTGGTGAAACTGAAAACTGGACGTCATCCTTACGTTTGGGCCAATCAATCCGGGCATTAATGGCTTCAAGTGTTTGATCAACTTCTCTTTTTTCATGCTGGTACAGAAATGCGTACATCTTGATTTTGTCAGTGTTATGTACTTCTATTGGCGGAGGTGCTTTAAAGACCTGCGTTTGTCCGTCTCCGTCACTCACTTGACCGAGACATGCATAATGGGGATGTACAGACAAAGTAAAAGTGTCCAAAACCAACTTTCGTTGATCGCATACGCTGTCTACCACTACAATTAAAAAATATATATTCTCAAATGGTATTATTTTAGCGACATATTGACCAGGGTCAATTGACATGGAATTAATTTGGGCATTATGAAGTGTCCACGTAAGTAGAATATACCATTAAACACAAGAGAAATAAAAAGAAAGTCTCCATTTTGCTAGGTTATATGAAATACATATACATTCGGCCGATGACTCACGACTAACTTTGACTTAGGCTGCGATAGGTGAAGCTGAACACTTTAGATTTGTTTATACTTTATAATTACCTTTGAAATCTTCAAAATAGATAAGACAGGAGTTGTCATTGTCTGACATTTCTACTTTTTGTATATCACCTCCCCCGCTTCTTTTTGTGTTCTCAAAGAACATTTCCAATCCGTCTGATGTTGTGTTGGGACTCAAGTTACCCACATACACACAGTTCGTGACTGGAACTCTCTCCGTTTTTAGAAAGCTTCCCTCCAGTTGACGTTTCTGACATGCACTTGCAAACGTACCAAAGTCTGAAAAAAATATTGATAAGCTCTTGATTACATTTATCTAGCTGTATAGATTGATCTGTCTAATTGGATTAAGATAAAATACACATTTAAGTCCGATACCTTTCGAATATTTAATCTATTTAATTTACCAATGACATCCGATAAGCTATTACGTGTATAACATGTTGTCGTATTTGTTAAAAAAATATGTTGGTGATTCCATCACAGCGAATGTTGTTGAAATAAGCTGACCAATCTTAACATTGGTAGTTGAATTTTACAAGTTAACGTGACATTTAAACCAACATATAGGAGCTAGATGCAACTTTAGGACACGAACATAATTATAAAAAGTACCAGTCAATCTGATTGAAATCATATCTTGATATACGCTGCGTTCCGTAAACTACACACTGCTAGATACTGATATGATTTTAATCAGATTGGGTACTACTTCAATACAAATTTATATCATTTTTTTTCAATTCGCTGTAGTGGATTGGATACCTTCAGAAAACTAAGAGAAGTGAGCAAAACACATCATTATTCCAATATACCTGTCCTATTTTTCCTTCTTTAGTGTAATCTCTAAATGCTCTTTCAATTACAATGACTATGACATTAACCATAAAGACTTGTGTTAATGTTTTGTCTGAGGCTTTCGGAGGTGACGTTTCATAAATATCTGCCAAAGTTGCGGCCAATAGAGTGATCATAAGCCATCTTCTGTGAAATCATTTCTAATAATTACGGTGACCATTACGGCCATTAAAGTGTTGTAAAGGAGTTTGACAAATGGACGGATACCTATCGGACAACCAGAACACAACATTATACCACTTCTTTGCATATTTTGGGTTATAAAAACGTGACAAGGCTAGAAAAATAACTAGATTCAAAATGCGATCACCCTCAAGTCAAATAGACTAAAAAGCAACCTAATACCAAAACGAATAATCAGTACCCATATCTTATAAAAGAGCTATAAAAGCTATACAATGAAGTTAAAAGAGATTAAAATTCAGAATGCTGACAAAGTAGACAAACGAAGGGCTATTGTTATATTATGCAAGGGGAACCGCAACGTCGCGTCACCCAACAATTCAGTATGCATTCATCAGCAATTTCTCGGTCAGCTATGCGGACCAAAAATTGACAACCTGTGCCCGAGTGCAGTAGAACACATCGGACGCGGCAGGTATTATTAGGAAAGGTTTGTTTTTCTCGAACCAAAACTTAATCAACAGCGACGTCAACACCGTCTGCAATGGTAGTTGTACAAATCAATAAACAGTTTGATGGGTTTATTGTAAGTAGGTTACAGGCAGTAACTGCCACATGCGGCGGTCAAACGAAGTATTGGTCACACTACTGCGACGATTGTGAAACAATCTGTAATGGCCAGCACACCCTTAACAGTATATTGTTTGTATTGACTGTGAGAAAAATCATTTTGTATCGACGCGTATCTTCAATAAAAAAATTAAACAGAGAATATAAGTAAATTCAACGTAAGATTGTAATATATATATATCTAATATTATGGATAAATATGTGATTAATAAACCTCAAATCTTTCAATTAGCCAGAACTGCGGGTAAAGTAAGCACAGAACGTCCTTAACAACAATGCATTTTCGATTGTAGGTTTTGGAGCTTATGACACTATACTATTCATAAACACTATACGATTCAATCGGATTAACATCTATAATTTTTACTACAAATTATAAGAACTCACCAATTTTTTTGTCAAACATTACAAGAATTGTTCCTTCCTCTTCGCCATAAATCAGAGATTTTGGAAGGGCGGAAGCTTTCAGTTCTAGAAAATTGTCCAGTGCATCTCTGCTGGTGTCGGGATTAACATCCCGAAGTAGGACTTTATCCTCACACATCTGTACAGGCGGGGGCGGGACAAACAATTTTACATCCAGTGTCCTGCCATCCAGGACATGTTTTTTTCTGATGACTTTGTCAGTTACTGCAATGTATTCATACAATGAATCAGCTATCAAATCATTCAGTGAACATTCATGGTTGGGTCTTTCGATACAAAAACTATCTTGAAACGTGTAAAGAAAATTGAAAGATGACCTTAAAACGTATATATCAAGCTTTTGTGTCTTCTATTTTCTTTGAAAAGTGTCATTTTTACAATAAATATTTACCAGTATGTATTTTAATATGTATCATACAATGGTCAGTAGCATACAAACCTGATGCGTCCTCAAATGTGATGGTTGCAATGACTTTTTCAGCATCGAAATCTAACTCCTTGATGTTTCCGCCACCTGATTTCCTTTTGTTCTCAAAATAGTAATGGATCGTATCACGAGTTGTATTCTGTGACATCCCGTGAACTTCTATAGTGGATAAATCCTCTGGAGCCTCTAAGTCACTATCTGATGTTTCCACTTCCGATTCACTTTCACTTTCAACACGGAATTCTTTAATTTCGATAATTGCCTTTTTATAAAGCATTGGACAACGAGCTAGAATACGTGGAACCACTGAAATAACAAATAAAAGGATATACTTTGTCAATCAGTTGGATGATAAGGACAGTACACAAATGTCGAATAATTGTTAAATTTCATAATAACGTTTACGTAATATACATTAATATTGTATTATGTTGTAAATGCCTCACAATTATATTTCAGAAAGACGAAGGCAGATTTTACTCCCATAAACTGTAGTCACTGAATAGAATATTTGCCGCGTTTCGTTCTTAGTCTATGAGATAATAAATCCAGGTTAAAGGAAATTGGAATCTATATTAAGTAACTTTTAAATTAAATAAATTTAAATGTAGTGTCTGTTACCGTCTGCTTTCTGAAACGTTACGATCGCCGTTTGTTTTTCGTGATTGATATCAACTTTTTCCACCGGTCCCCCACTTGACTTTTTACTCTCAAAAAACTTCTTCAGATCCACTGCTTTCACATGTTTTGGTATTTTAGAAACTAAAATTGAATTAACATATGAAATATCATCTTCTTTGTCCTCTCCCATATCATCTTCTACTTGTTTGTGATCATGGCTAAATGACTTGGTGTTTGATTTACCCACACCAGGTTCTGAAAGTAGAAGCAAAGACATAATGTATAGGTAAAATCAATAGCATCACATTTTTTTGATGAACAGATGATAAGCAAGATTGTTTTTTCTCGCACCCCTATCCGACTATAACCCAAGCTTACTTATAAACAAATTTTATTATTGAAACCTTATAATATCAGTAACTTCCGTTTTATGACCTGGATCTTGCCTACACCTTTATGAGAAATTATCCCACTCAAAATTTAAACCATGGAGACAAATAATATACATGTATACCAATAATAAATCTGAGCATAAAATCAAAATGATTACTTATCTGGTGAATATCAACGAACCTTCTAAAGGTCGGTCATTTTTCCTTGAATATATCAGCTGATGAGACGACATTTGTGACACGTGTTGTTCTGACAACCTTTCTGTTGACAGGTGTTGCTCTGAAAACTGTTCTGATGATCCGTGTTGCGCGGACAACTGTTTTGGTGAAATGTGTTGCCGGTCCAATTGTTGTTGGTGTACGTGATATCCTGGATAACCGTACCTAGGTGAACCTATGGAATCCTGTCCTTCATATGGCCGCGGGTCCATTGGACCAGGTCCTTCGTAACGCGGCGGATGTTTGGAACCAGGCCCTCCATGTAGCAACGGAAGTGTGGCACGTGGTTCTCCATATGACGGCGGAACGTTTGGATCAGGTCCTCTATATGGCCAATGATGGTCGGGCACCGGTCCTCCATATGGGTGTGGCATTCCCGGAGGACCTAAATATGGTACTTGTGGTGTCATTCCCTGTGTCTCATACAAGGACCATTGTCCATCTGGCCGATTACCTTGCATAGGATATGAAAATGACTGGTATTGGTATTTATCAGGAGAGCCTTCTTGATTTCCAGGTCTGGTGACAATTTTGTAATCGTATTGCATGTTACCTGTTAACGGCGTTAGTGCTCTCCTTTGCTCATTGTCAATATTCCGTATTCCATGAGGAGCGGGGTCATTCATTTTCATCTCAACGCCTGTTTGGTCCGTTAAATCACTTGATGGGATATCCTAAATAGATATCAAATTAACGACAAAAAAAACATTTTTGAAGACAATATACTCATAACAGGAAGAAGGATAACTCTTAACGCTCACATAATTTCATTTGACTCAGCTAATCAGAGCCCATGAATGTCATTCTGGATTTTTGGATCAGCTTGAAAAATAACAACATTGTTGTGAAACTCTTCGAGAACATTGTACCAAATGTGGAGTCGATCGGTTCAGCCTATCTTGAGCAAAAGTAGAAAAAAACATGTCTCAGCCAATCAGTTACTAAAGAGGCCATCTCGGGTTTCTGAATTGGCATGAAAAGGTCCTACATTTGCTAGCGACTTAATAAGATATATTTGTAACAATGTAAAAGTCAATCGCTTCTGCCAATCGAAAATCATGACTGCCGTCTTAAATTTTCGTACATGTATCAGCAACTACTTTTTAAGAAAGCAAGGTCGGAACATCATAAGGAACAATAACACCAAGTTTAAAATCCATTTTAGCCATTCTTGAGAAGAAGTCGAATATGTGTCAGCCAATCGGACGCGAGGGTGGCCATCGTGTATTTTTGAATCGGTACGACAAGCAGGGATACTTCTTAGCGACCTAATAAGGAGGTCAATCAGTTCAGTCGTTCTGACGAAAACCTAATGCACCAAAATTCTCTAACCAAAAGTCTCTGTAATATAGACACGAGCACCAATACAGCAAATGCAACAAACCTTATTCCCCGGATGACATGATTTCGAGGCATTTTAAAATAAATTACCATTACGGTCAGCTCTGTTAAAGTATCTAACTGATGATATGTAAATCATTTGTACAGTTGTATTGTGTTTTTCTGAAAACAGAATTTTGCGCATCTTTATATACTATAACGAGCTTAGTTTTGTTTTGATTTGAAACCATGGGAGTCTTACAAAGGAGATAGTTTATGCGAAAATTGTTATCATGATATAGATTGTTTCAAATTTCGTGCCTTCCCGAGCAAAACAATGATAGCCTACTTGCGTTAAAAACTAAGGAATGTGAAACTGAGCATGGCTCTTCAAACTCTCGCCCCTGTTGGATAATGGTGAAATATAAGTAACAGTGACCTTGATATTTGTGCAGCAATTACTATTACGCTCAAATGTGAACCGGTTAAAGGTATGTTTAGGCTAAATTATATGTGAAGTTTCATCAACGTTTGTCAGGAAATACATCCGCTAGAGTTTCGATGAAAAGTCTAGGCAAAATTATATTTATCTAATTACCATATTAAAAATAACATGAACGGAAGCTCATAGATGTATCATCCCCAACGGCTTTCCCTCCTACCATGCCCGTGACCTTTGAGCCTTTCACCATAACAGATGTTAACCAAAATCATATCAGGTGTAGAACTTAATGTTACCATACGTTTTGGTAAATATGAACTAAATTTGTTGAGGGGTTCGTGAGATACACTGTACAAAAGCTTTTGACTTCAAAAGTGGTCAATTTTGATCTTTGACGGTGACTTTTGACCATGAAACCTTGACCAAATACCACCAACATCTAATCACGAACGAAGGCACACAAGGACGAACAGACAAAGTGATTACAATAAATCCCCTCACTAAGCGTGGGTAATACAGTAATCATTTTGACCCTTGATCAAACATACCCATCATCGAGCTGTTCAAGGTATTTAGGAGGTTTCATAGAAATCTGCCACAAAATACATCCGTTAGCTTGATAACAACGAGTCTGTGAAATTATGTCTTTTAAAACAGTTACTTTGATCTTTGACACATTTTGTTCCAATAGGCTTATCCGAGCTATCAAAATGTACCCGTTAGCAAGGCGATAATGTATATGACAGGTGGACGAACGGACGGATGGCACATATACCTAATGTAAACCCCACTTGACAAATATTAACAGTACATAAAAGAAATTATCATAACTGACGCATTCACATAACCAGACAAATGCAGAAAACCGATTCTTGTATTCATTATCAGTCTGATAATGAAGATTACATATCATATGCATCGAAAAGCTTTATATATAACTGTTTTGTCTACTATGTATATTTTACTTACTTCCAATGAGTATTTCTTCCATAAAAGTGGGATATCGCATGGTTGCGTGCAACCGTAAACATCAAGAATACATGCTTCAGGATCTTCATTATCAAGTACAATCTCGACCTTGCCAAGCGCCACCAAATCATTCGCATCTGATTATGAAAAACGAAAAATGTTTTTATCATGTTCAATGTAAATATTTTAAAACCTCGTATCAAGGATTTACAAGTAATATATTAGCAACATTGCAAATGGTACAACATGCACTTGCTTTTTGTATCACCACTACTACTACAATCACTAATTATTCTACTACTACTATTTATACCACCAACACCACCACTGCTACTATTTTTAAATCTACCATCAATACTACTACTATTACTTTTCCGAATCACCATTACTATTACCACTACTATAACGATTACTACTACTACTACTACTACTACTACTACTACTACTACTACTACTACTACTACTACTACTACTACCACACTACTACTACTGCTACTACTACTACTACTACTACTACTACTACTACTACTTCTACTACTACTACTACTACTACTACTACTACTACTATACTACTACTACTACTACTACTACTACTACTACTACTACTACTACTACTACTACTACTACTACTACTACTACTACTATTACTACTACTACTTCTACTACATCCACTACTACTACTACTACTACTACTACTACTACTACTGCTACTACACTACTACTACTACACTTCTACTACTACTACTACTACTAGACTACTACTTCTACTACTACTACTACTACTACTACTACTACAACTACTACTTCTACTACTACTAGTTCTACTACTACTACTATTACTACTATTATTATTATTATTATTATTATTATTATTATTACAAACTAACCGGTAATAAGTTTTATATATATATATATTTTAAATGCTGCCGTGACTATTCTCCATAATTATGTTTATTAAAGATTTAAAAGAAACTGAGGTTAGGTATACATCTAGCAAACACTAGTGAAAGCAAGTGTTTTCTTTTATAAAAGCACTGGATAAAGTCTTGAGTGTAATCAGCCCAACAGAACTCAAATTATAAGTATTGCATTTTATAAACTGATTTTCTATTCATATAGTAACAGTGATAGATACCTAACACCCGGGCCTGAAAGTAATCCCAAGCAGGCACTTTCTGTGAGGAAGCACTGGATAAAGTCCAGAGTATAATCAGCCCAAGAGAAATCAAGATATTGTGCATTAGTGCATTAAACAGATTTTCTGTTTATAGTGACCCATTGACCTTTGACCACTGGACCTGAAAAGTTATCCTAAGCAGGCACTTTCTTCCAGGAAGGACTCGATAAAATCTGAGTGTAATCAGTCCAACAGAATTCGAAATACAGTGCAAAAACTGATGTTCTATTTATAGTAAGTGACCTTGACCTTTGATATCAAATGCTGAAAAGCTATCTAAAGTCTTAAGCAAACATTTTATTACATTGGATAAAGTCTGAGTGCATACGGGGCAAAAGAGCTCCACATATTGTGCATGGAATGTTTTTCTATTTATAGTAACATTAACCTTAAACTTTGACATCGATGCCTCAAAAGCTACAATTTGTATCCTAAACAAATACTTTCTAAAGTAGCAATGACCTTAACCTTTCACCACCAAAGCACCAAAGCAGGCACTTTCTCCAAGGTAGCACTTGATAAAGCCTGAGTGTAATCATCCCAACAGAATTGGAAATATTGTGCCTAAACTATTTTTTTATTCATGGTAACAGAGACATTGTCCTTTGACCGCCGGGCCTGAAAAGCTTTTCAAAGCAAACACTTTCTTCAAAAAAGCACTGCATAAAGTCTGAAAGCAATCCAACCAACATTACTGAAGATATTGTGCAGAAATTAAACAAGAAGCCCAATGGGCCTGTGTCGCTCACTTGCTTCTAATGCAACTTTGAAGCTGATCTGGGTCATTTATGTGGATGCTAAGCTCATTACCACTTTATTCAAATATAGCACATTTGACCCATGTGACCTTGAATGTAGATCAAGGTCATTCATTTGAACAAACATGGTATCCCTTCATCCCAGCATGCTACAGGCCCAATATCAGGTATTTGGGCCTCTTGGTTATTGAGAAGAAGTTGTTTAAAGATGTTAGCACATTTGACCCCTGTGACCTTGAAAGTCGGTCAATGTCATTCATTTGAACACATTTCGTAGCCTCTCATCAAGGCATGCTATAGGCTCAATATCATGGTCCTCTTAGTTATTGTGAAGTTGTTTTAAGATTTTAGCACATTTGACCTCTATGACCTTGAAAGACAGGCAAGATAATTCATTTGAACAAACCTGGTAGTCCTTTATTCAAGCATGCTGCAGGCACAATATCAGGTCTTTGGGTCCCTTGGTTATTGAAAATAAGTCGTTTAAACATTTAACCTCATTTAACCCTTGTGACCTGGAAAAGTCGGGCAAAGTCACTCATTTGAACAAACTTGATAGCCCTGTATCCCAGCACGCTACAGGCCTAATACCAGCTAGCTAGGTTTCTAGGGCTCTAGGTTATTGAGAAGAATATGTTTAAAGGGATAATTAGACGCCTGAGGGCCTGACGATAGCCAGAGGATGGACGCCGCACCAGGGTAAAAGCTGACTTGTCCTTGGCAGGTGAACTTAAAAACCGATAGAAGGATAGACAGACAGGAAACCTGATTACTAAAGATGTGCAGGGGTCCTAACAACAAATTGAGTAATTGAATTGGAGAATCCCCCTTTGGGACCCCACTCCTTCCCCTGGGGAGCCAGAGTATTATGAGAGAGACCATCTGTTAAACGGCATTCAGTCTTCTTAACCAAGAAATGCTCCAGACCATTGGTTTGAAAACATCATCGAACTTTAAAGGATGTACTCTATTAGGTGGTTTATGTCCTCGCAACAGCCAGGGTCATATGAGGTCGGGTGTCAAGGAGACACCAATAGAAGAAAACTACAATTCGAAGGAAGTGGATGTGTTGCCGGCATGTGCACCCACACAATTAAAGTGTGTCATTTTGAAATATCATGGTCACCATCAAGGCCATATAAAAAGCATTATGCTTTCAGTTGCTTGTTGGTTGGTTGAAGGAGCTGAACGTCCACACAACATCTGATGTGCATGATACGTATTGTGTGGAAAGAATTTGACATAAGGATCGAGCTCGAACTGTAATCCATCATTCAAGAAAAAGTCAAACATCAAGTAACATATTGATGTGGCAAGTGGTCGCGAAAAAAAATTAGAGTTACTAATAAGAATTCCCTATGTGCAAAAGGCTATAACTCCAGAAAAAAATAGAACATTGACTCTTGATTATAACTAATAAACTGTAATCCATTATAAATGTATATTAAGTTACAAATAATATGAAAAACAATTAATTATGAGAATATCTATGTGCAAAAGGGCCATAACAGCAGTCAAAAATGGAATATTATAACATGGTTCAAACTCTGTAATCTATTATGATAAAGCCACAAATAAAGTTTCAAATTGATATGGCAAGCGGTAGTGAAAATAAGTAAAAAATAAAGTTAATTTTGATAATTTCCTATGTGCAAAGGGCCAGCAAAAAATGGAATATTAACACGGGGCTCGAACTCAAACTATAATCCATTATGACAAAGCCATATTATAAGTAACAAATTGATGTTGCAAGTGGTAGCGAAAACAAGTCCGGGAAAACAATTAATTATGATATTTCTTATGTGCAAAGGGCCATAAATCCAGCAACAAATAAAATATTGGCACGTGGTTCGAACTTGATCTGTAATCTATTATGATTAAGCCACATACAAAGTTACAAATTGATATGGTAAATGGTGGCGAAAACAAGCCTGGAAAAACAGAGTAATCCTTAAGTGTTCGCCATGCTTTTCAGGCGGCACGACAAAGAAACAGTGAGGAAAGATTTAAGATCCCAAGTGTGTTGCAATGGGAGCAGAATATCTATTTTGGTCTGTTCAATGTCGACCCAAGTAGTAGACATGAGAGAAAATCCCTTATTCTTCAGGGTGCCAACTTTTAGCCCCCCCCCCCCCTCCCTCCCATGTACATTGTATGTACATTATGGTTTCACAGATTTTGACGGATTCGATAACTCAAGTAGACAACAGGCCAAGAGGGCCTGTATCGCTCACCTGAATATGTTTAAAATAGTTGGTATGAAGTAAAGATATAGCACTCCATGATGGGTGCTGTAAGTACATATGAAATTTCAGAAAGATCCATCCAGTACTTGAGATATAGCGAGAACAAACTTCAAACAGACCCAAGGCCAAAGGATGCTCCAGACTAAATAAGGATTAAATCCCTTAATGGTCGAAGAAGGATTTTAAATGTTTTACCTCTATTTCTCCTATCGGGCCCCATCCTTCTGCCCCTTGGGAGACACACCCACTGCTTATACAAAATTGAGTCCCCTTGGCCCAAGGATGCTCCAGACTAAATTAGGATAAAATCCCTTAATCCCGTTGTTTGAAGAAGGATTTTAAAGATTTTACCTCTATTTCCCATATTGGGCCCTGCCTCTCTGCTTACAAGGGGGTTAGACACACCGTTTATACAAAATTGGTTCCCCTTCACCCAAGGATGCTTCATGCTAAATTTGGAGAAATTGCTATGTTTCCCCTATTGGGCCCCTCCCTTCTGCCCCCAGGGGGACCACACTCGCTGTTTATACGAAATTGAGTCCCTTTTGCCCAAAGATGCTCCAGACTAAATTAGGCTAAAATCCCTTAATCCCCATCGTAGAAAAGGGATTATAAAGGTTTTACTTCTATTTCCCCTATTGGACCCCTCCCCACAGGTCCCAGGGGGGCCAAATTCACTGTTTATACACAATTGGTTCCCTTTCACCCAAGGCTGATCCACACCAAATATGGAACAAATCCTTTCATTCATACAGAAGTAGAAGTATTTTAAAGAATACTTTGCTATGTTTCCCCTATTGGGCCCCACTTCTCAGGCCCCTGGGGGACCAGACCCACGGTTTATACAAAATTGGTTCCCCTTCACCAAAGAATGCTTCAGACCAAATATGAAACAAGTCCTTTCATTCCTACAGAAAAAGAAGGATATTAAAGAATAATTAGCTATGTTTCCCCTT